TATTTTATTTTATTTTTATTTAATCGTGAAGGCCAGAGTTTAATGATTTTAATGCTTCTATATATATACAAATATTTCATGATTAATTCAAAATTGCTCAATTGAATCATACCGACTTTTCGTAAGAATTTTTTTTATGATTTCCGGAAAATTAAACAATACTAAACATTCATTTCAAATATGATTTTTTCGTAACACCTGTTGCACTTTCATGAATTTTTGGGAAAAATGAAACAATACTCAAATAAATTTGAACAATACGAATTTTAAGAAAAACCAGAAATGAAATATATATACATGTTCATACTGTAAAGATTTGAATTATTTTTCACCCAAGTATCCTAAAAAAGTGTCACTTATCCTCGGGCATTGCAAAATTGATATTGTGTGCTAAATTAATCAAACGAATACCATAATCCATATTCATAATCAATCGTCAGTTTGAAAATTTAAAAGATATGAATTTATTTTTGCTAAATATATCTCGTTAATTACATAGTTGTTGGTTGCAATTGAACGGATATTTTTAAATCTCGCAATTCATTAATTATCAATTTATACTTGGCCTAACGTTAATATTCGTTTTCGGTTCAAATTTTTATGGTATATTAGAATAAAATCACTTTAATATAACCTGAAGGCTTATTATATGTTGAAATTTTCTTTAAAAAAAAAAATGGTTTACAACTTTTTTTTAAAAAAAAAATTGGTTTATTAAAAAAAAAAAAAAGACTAACCGTAAAAAGAAGAAATTCATTAAAATAGTTGTAGTTCCAAAAGTTGGGTTCTTGGATAGATCTTCATGATTTCGGCCAGAATTGGGAAAATTGGGTAATAAAATGCATGAATTAAAAATAAATAAAAATTGATTGTAAATGTTACAGTAATTTATGCCAAAAAAAAATTGGAAAATGACGGAAACCAACTCACTCAAAAGAAAAAAAGCTTTAGATCTCGAAGAAGACAATTATGTTCCTTATGTTCCAATTAAGCAAAGAAGAGAAGTAAAGCTTCAAAAGCTTGCTAGTCAAAGGCGTCTTCCCGAATCGCAAAAAGACAGTGAAGTTGACGATGAAATTGAAGAATCGGTTAAAGCTGGTCCTAAGGCTAACGTTAGTTTGATTGATCAGGCTGTGGAGGTCAAAAAGCAAAAAATGATAGAGGGTAAATGAATCCTTTCATCTTTTTATAATGACTTTGATCGATACTTTTGATTGAACTAAATTTTTTTCTTCTTTAGATTCTTTCAAAACTGATTCTGAAAAAAAACTCGAGGAGGAAAAGGCTATTATGGAAGCTGTCGCTCAACGAAAGCTTTTGGCGTCAGATCGAGAACTTGCGAAAGGAATTATTTATACTGAACCAATGAAGACGACGTAAGTGCATTTTGAATCAAGTATTTATTCACGTTAGCTTTCTATTAATGGTTCATTCTAATTCAGTTGGCACACGCCTCGTCATATTCGTGAGAGACCTCAATCTGTCCATGATGCAATTCGTCAGAGATATCATATCCTTGTTGAAGGTGAAGATGTTCCTCCACCCATAAAGCATTTTAGGGTACGTCTTTGATATACACATCTTAATACTTTACCTCTCATAAATCAAAGATCGTTACTAAACTTTCCATTAGGATATGAAATTTCCTTCCGCTATGTTGAAATACTTGAAATCTAAAAAAATTCATCGACCCACACCTATTCAAGTTCAAGGTCTTCCTGTTGTGTAAGAAAAATTTAATGAGAATATTCATATATTTTGTCTTTTTAAGTGTTGACTTTTATTTTACTTGTTTTCAGGTTGGCTGGAAGAGACATGATTGGAATTGCATTTACAGGATCTGGAAAAACCTTGGCTTTTTCTCTACCATTAGTGATGTTTGCTTTGGAAGAAGAATGCAAATTACCATTGATTAGAGGAGAAGGTCCAATCGGAATGATTGTTTGTCCATCGGTTAGCAATTATTAAAATTATTTATTTATTATTATACAATATTGTCTTTGATTATTAACAAAAGAAGTTTTTTATCAGCGTGAATTGGCAAGACAAACTCATGAAGGAATCTGCTCAATGATAGACTTTTTAGTTAGAGATGATTTTCCAAAGTTGCGACCTTTGTTATGTATCGGTGGTATATCTATGTCGGATCAACAGAATATCTTAGCAGAAGGAATACATATTGTGGTTGCGACTCCCGGAAGATTGATGGACATGCTAGAAAAGAAGAAATTTAATCTGGATCTGTGCAAGTACGTTCATAATGTAACTTGTTATACTTGGGACCTCTCGCAAGCAAAGGGGATGGCAACGTTTATCGAAAAAATCAATCTAAATCACGTGATCGATTTTTGAAGATCACTGTAGATTTTAAATTCAATAAGCAAGCAACTACAGATTTGTTGAAATGCGCCCTTTTTTTTTACGATGAGAAGCAGCAAAATTTTTTCTTTCAAAAATCACGTCCTATTTACGATCGGAATTAAATATTCTCTGAAAGGTTAGATTGTGAGCATATGTACATCATGAAATCTCGAAACCTGATTGACCTGCACATCCCTTTTTGCTATGGGGTCCCACGTTTGATGGATAATCTTTTCTAATTAAGATTTGTGATTCTAGATATTTGTGTTTGGACGAGGCTGATAGGATGATTGATATGGGTTTTGAGGATGATGTTAGAAATATTATGTCTTATTTTACGGTAAGAGATTATTACAATCTTTTGTGCTTTTTTTTTTTTAATATTTGATGATAATTACATTTAATTAATTCGAATTAGAGTCAACGCCAAACCTTACTATATTCAGCCACCATGCCAAAGAAAATTCAGGATTTTGCACGATCCGCGTTAGTCAAACCTGTGATTGTTAATGTTGGTCGTGCGGGCGCTGCCAATTTGGATGTTATTCAAGAAGTAGAATATGTGAAGCAGGAAGCAAAGATTGTATATCTCTTAGAATGTTTGCAAAAGACACCACCACCTGTAACTATTTCCAAGTCATTTATGATTAGTATCATGATTTTTTTTATCTTAGATTACATATTGATATTTTATCTTTGCGCTTTGTTTTAGGTACTTATTTTTGCAGAGAATAAAAATGATGTGGATGATATTCACGAATATCTATTGGTAAAAGGAGTTGAGGCTGTAGCTATCCACGGAGGCAAAAGTTTGTAACACGATATTTATAATTATTTAATGGATCATTTTGAAAAAACTATCTCATACATTCATATAAATTAGGTCAAGAGGAACGTGAATTTGCAATACGAGCATTTAAAGAATACAAGAAAGATGTTTTGGTTGCTTCTGATGTTGCTTCAAAAGGTTTAGATTTTCCGGATATTCAACATGTTATCAACTATGATATGCCAAAGGAAATTGAAAATTATGGTATTTATTTGCGATGAAAAAAGTTCTTTAATATTATAATTTCGTAAACATAACATTAATGATAATTTAGTACATAGAATTGGTCGTACTGGTCGTTCGGGGAAGACAGGTGTGGCCACAACATTTATTAATATGAATTGTTCTGAGCAGATATTGCTCGATTTAAAACATTTACTGCGGGAAGCCAAACAACGAGTTCCCCCTGTATTAGAAGTTTTGGAGGATCCAACAGAAAAATTCAAAGACTTGTGTGGAGGTATGATTACAAATCCACTCTTTTTTTATATCAAATATCATCATGCTAATAAAAGTAAAATTCCACAGGTTGTACATTTTGTGGCGGTCTCGGGCATCGTATCGCTGAATGTCCAAAGCTGGACGCTCAGAGAAGACAACAACTTGGAAATATCAGTCGTGGTGGTGCTGGTGGTGGTGGTGGTGTTGGGGATAGAGGTGGTGGCGAGTATTAATGAATTTACACTAATGAGATTCTGAAGACACTATTTTTTTGGTTACGTGTTGGTGTTGGTTCGGACACTCGTGATAATTCCTTGAAACGTATATAACGGAGGAAAGGTAACACTTCTTTACGAAAAACAAAAAAAAAAAATTTAACAAATAAGTAAAAATGGGTCGATCATATACAGTATATATTATACGATTGATGCATTTGTTTGTAACTGTAATTAAGTTATGCTAAATCTGGAAATTGATGTTCACAATGTTATTGTGATTTATTATTTATAGGATTAGAAGTTAAATATATAATAAAATAATAATAGTTTCAACAATTACCAATTATCCCTTTAAATCAATAAATGGTAATATTGAAATTGAACCCTATTCGTGGCCTTAGCCCTCTTCATTGTTGATAGGTTGTAGCCTTCATTGACATGCCAAGTTAAACTAAATTGTATAAATACGAAAATGGCAAATATTGCGAAATTCTCATTTTGAAGATGACGGCATGAATAAGCCTAAACTTTATCTGGTCAGATGGATTTGTTCACAAGAAGGAGAACCCGATACAAAATGCAAATGCAAACTTGTTTAACATCTGGTTTATGTTTGTTTTCCCCTTACGTTTCAAAATTTATTTTTTTTTTTTTATATATCCATAAATATTCCCCTTTTCCAATCTTGAGTGAATTTTTATTATCATTTTCCAATGACTTCATCTAACTCGATTATTCAGTAAGAAAAAAAAAAATTTTTTTTCATCTCAATTTTGATATCATTTTGTTTATAAATAACCAGCTAACCGTAATTTTTTTTTGCTTTTTTTTTTTTTTTTATTTTTTTCCTTACCTATTGTGGTACTTATCATTATTTTTTATAAACAAAATTAAATAAATAAAAAATTTTATTAATGTTTATTTATTTCAGGAGAATATTTCGTAGAGTCTTCCTTAAAAAACATAAAAAATCAAGGGGACGTACAACACGACCCTCCAAAATACCACAAAATGATAAAGTTAATCCAAGTGTTGCAACATCCAATGATATTAGTACAATAGACACAACAAATTATTATAATAACAATAATATTAAGACATTTAATAATAATGATGAAATTGATACAAATAAATTCACTCCACCATTTGTGATGTCACCCCCAAACAGAGCAAGTACAGGGCAACCTCGTAGAGATTGGCGTAGTGGATATAAACCAATTGACGAACTTATTCAAGAAATTCGACTGGAATTTCCATATCCTTCTCATAATTTAAATTGGATTCCATACGATGAATTTGTGGGCTCCAGATTAATCACCCAAGGTGGATTCTCTTCGATATTCGAAGCCATGTGGAATAAATCCGGTCAAACCGTAGCGTTAAAGTGTTTGAAGGATTCACAAGATCTTAGTAGTGATTATTTAAATGAGGTAAATATTCGAAACTAAATTTTTTACTCCATTCATTATTTCAATATCTAATAAAATTTTTTTTTTTTTTTTTTCAAGATAAAGACGCATTGGGGTTTATTCTCGCAACCACAATTTTTACGTTGTTATGGTATTACACAATATCCAATCACTGGGGAATTCATGATAGTGTTACAATATGCATCATTTGGAGATTTGAGATTACACCTTCAGCGTAATCGTGTTTCAAGTTGGAAAGACAAGATTCGAATTCTCAAGCAAATCGCTCGTGGACTTGCTGAGATGCATAAGAAAGATTTGATTCATGGAAATTTACATAGCGGTAATATAATGAATATTGATAAATCACATTTTGTCATTGGAGACGTTGGACTTTGTGGACCGGCCAATCGTAACATACGCAAAAAAGCGGTTTATGGAGTTCTTCCTTATGTTGCACCGGAACTTTTTAGAGGGATAGGATCCTCAAAGAAGGTTGACATCTACAGCTTTGGTATTATAATGTGGGAAATTTGTTCTGGAATGAGACCTTATGCTGGTACAGCCCATGATATCAATATGGCAAAAGATATATGTAAAGGGAAAAGACCACCTGTTCCACCTGGAACACCTTCCTTTTATTCCGAACTTATGAAAAAATGTTGGCATCATAATCCAAATGAACGACCCGATGCACCTGAAGTATTAAAAACTGTTTATCACTGGTTGGTAAATGATTCACTGGATGAATTTTTGCGGAAAGGTGGATCAACGATCTCGTTTAATAATGTGTCAAATGATCGAACGCACCCGGATGCAATTTATTGCAGTAGGTTATTAGATTTCCCTGAATTAAGAGAAGAACGCAGGCGTCAAATTCTCGCACATTCACGTGCGGACCTGAAGAATAATAGTAATAATAATAGTAATCGTAGTAGTATAGATCAAAATAATTCATTGAGACCCCCACAAATTTATAAACCACTCCTATCAAAATCATCTGAAGATACATTAAGATCTAGAACTTCTCAAAAAACAGACAATACTTCAAAACAATCTTTTAATACATCTATTCCTCGACCTTCACAACGTATAAATAATTATTCAAAAACTCCGCAAGAAAGGTATAATAATAATTCTTCTCAAGATTCCTATAATTATTCAAAATCATCTCAAACATCATACTATGGTCATACGAAACCTTCCCAAAATATTTTAGAAAATCATAATTATTCTAAATCACTACAACATAGTCCTATAATTCCGACACAAACAACTCGTCCAGAACTTTTTGGTAAATCTGAATTATCAATAAATCCTAAAGGTCCTGTAAGTGGATTGAGTGTTTTCATACCTGATGATGATGTTGAAACCCTCACTTCATTCTGGTCTATGGAAGGACCTAAACCCAATGACAAGAATTCAGCTAATAATTTCAGATTATAATAAAAATTTAGAATAATATATTATATTCCTGGCGAATATAATTTTTTTTTTTTCCGAACATAGATGCATATTCAATATGTATATACATAGGTTCTTGGAGAGGTTTTTTGGATATATAATGGAATTATTTATTATTATTTATTATTTATTGATATATATTTGTAGATTTACATTTATATACATATTATTTGGTTTTTATTATTTATTTATTTATTTTATTTATTTATATATATAGATAAATTTATTCATTCATTTTTTTTTAATTATAATAAACCAAATATTACAAAAATATAAAAAGAAAAAAGAAAAAAAAATTTAATGGTATATATTATATAACCGATTATTAATCAATAATAATAATATAATTAATTTTATTGTCTATAAATAAATATTAACTTCTATTCTATTAGTCAAAACTTTAAATAATAAAATTAAAATTATTTATTTTGGTTAAAGTTAGTGAGTTTACATATAATCTATTTAGTTATAAACAGAGTAGATATTGACCAGCCTGCGCCGCACGTCACATGAAATTCAGTTTGACACGTATGATTTACTCGCGTAGTCACAAGTCAAAATTAGTTAGTATATAATATACATGTACCTTTGGTAGACATGTTGTCAAGAAAGAAAACAGCCAAATCTGTACGGTAAGTAATAAAATTGATAGTTGAGATAATGGGTTTTAACGTACAACTAGTTCCCTTTGTTACAGTGCATACCAGAATAACGCTATTAAAAAAGACCCAACTGGAGGACACACAACAATCAAGGCGCTTCTTTATGAAGAGATTAAGAAAATACCAGAATGGGAGGTAGATAAATACATCGGGAAAAAGCTAATAAAAAATGTCAGTGCGTACGTAAAAAGGTGTCACCCATACATAGATAATACAAATTTTTTAGAAAAGGGCGAAGAAAAAAGTGCAAGGAAAACTATTAGAGAGTACCTTTATCAATATATTCTAGAGAGAGACATTGATGACTCAGATTTAGAAGATACAATAAATACAGCAGGAATGACGTATGTTTGCGTTATTTTAATTCTTAAATCATTCACATTGTAAGTAAACTCGTTTATCTTTTGGGTAGGATTGAAGAGCAAGATGAAGAACTTGGTGCTCTTATAGCAATTGATGAGAAGGAATTAGACTATATATCACTCCTAAAAGTCAAAGTAGACAACCCAAAGATCGTTGATTTTATATCTAAAGATTTCGATGACATTATCGAAAGGCTCAACAAACTCGGTCAGAAGTTATCAATTGAATCACATATGAATTCTTATGTAACCGGATTGCAACGATTAAAATTTGCATTCAAGAACACCGGTATGATTAAATTTGTCATTACATATTAAAAATAAAATGATTTAATAATAATCTAAAATGTCTACTATAGTTCCAGCAGTTGGAAGTCGTAAGGTTCATTTTGTTGAAAACGATGATCGTTTTAATCAAATCGATGATGCATCACGTGATCTAATGGAAAATTATGTAAAGAAGGTTCCATTATCTTTTACATTTCCAGGAATGGTTGACGGAAAAGCATATATTATCGCCACAGTAAATCTGCCGAGGGGAACATTGGTTCATAACTTGCCAGCTGAGTTTAAGAATTTTCCAGTGCTGATTGATTATGGAACTATGAGAGCATCAACAGCTAGTGATGAATATCGCAAATATCAAAATCTCAAGCCAGGGATTAGTAATTCTCTTTTCAATTGATCTGACTTTTTTAATATTTGCGTAGGTGCTCCGGGAGACTCTGGTGCTCCAGTCTTCGATCAAGATGGTCTCCTTTGGGGAATTTATCAATATACCTCAGAAAGCGTAAGTTCGTCTGGTGTTGTACCTATTGATCTAATTTTAGAAAGAATCTACGACAGAGAAAATATAGAATTTGAGTTATTTACGAGTGAAGAAAATAATATTTACCACGTAAAAATTCAATAGTGAAGAATTCGATTCAATCATTATTCAATTAACGATTGATTAAACGATTAATGCAATATGTTCTCATTATTCTTTTTTATTAAATTAGATGCACAGCTTTACTAGTTCTATATTTTAAGATAAAAATCGCATAAGGATCAATAATATAACTTTAAATAAAGTTATTTGCATTCAAATATTTAAAATTTGGTTTAAAAATTAAGGGAAAAGCATTAAAAAGATATTGTAAGATAACTTAATTTTTAATATAAATAAAAGTTTCGTAACTTTGTTGTAAAGACAAATGTATACCTATAAAATATTTATACATTTAAATTATTTGTTTATAAGACAAAATGTCAACCATGAGCTGACAAGAATGTCAGCGTGAAGTTGACCTTTTTGACCAGCCTGGCTTGCCATATAAAATGTTCGTTTTATTTTTGAATATCTACTGAGAATAGTAGAGATATCTGAAATCCTTCCACGCCTCCAAATGTTACTACACCTTCAATTTTACATCGATAATCAATTTTTTTTTTCATAAATCATTTTCCTATTAGTCATTTTAATGGCACATGATCAGAGAAAGTGTGACAATGTGTAACTATTGTGTAACTAGTATCTCAAAATTTAACGGTCGAGACATGGTTATATATGGTGATGTAGTATGCGACCAATGAAATAGCCTAGCGTGAGAAAATGCTTAATGATTACAAGTTCCGATGTACAACTGGCTTGTTTTGGAAAAAGCTTATAAATGAGTTCATATATTTGTCATTTATATTATGAAATTTTTTTTTTTTTTTTTTTTGATTGTTTGGGAGAAAAGGTTACTATAATTAAAAAACATGTAAGGGGTTATTTTTATTATTTGTTCTCACGCTAAAATCTGTAAGGAAGTTTCTTCCCTTTCTATTGCAAAGGGCCCATATGGAAGTTTGCTATTAAAATCGAGTTTCAAATATAGCTTATCTCCTCTTTGTCCTTCATGTGATTGCACCTAATAAGAAAAATCAATCAGCTTTATTCTTGAATAATGTCTTAGTATAAACCATACGAATCCATTCAATTTCACATGATTATGACAATTATTTTACAAAATTCCAAAAATTGTTTTCATGTAAATTTCAATTGAACCCATCCACAGATAAAGCTACAGTATATAATGTAAAAAAAGTTAATCAAAATTATACACAAATAATATCAGATATAGATAATGAGAGCAATCTTGTTATCATTCAAAGTAAATAAACTTCTGAATGAATAGTATAAATAGTTAGTTATCTTTGCTGGATCTAACCTTAATTAATAAAGAAAAGCAGGCGTATGTCCAGAAGAATCTACGTGAGACCAGTGAAGAAAGTCCAAAAGTGCTTCTAATTTCCAATGCTAGTTACTACGTGAAACTCTATCAATGATATATGTCAGACAATAGATATGTGGCAAGAAAAAGTCAAAATGATGTATAATAATGTGATAGGCATTATCATTCACTCACACATCTATCTCTATTATGAAGCGTTGAAACTTAGGAAGAAGGGTAATAAACTGTCTCGTGTCTAGCAAACTTGGTAATGTCAATATCAATAAAATAGGAAAGATGGTTGCTTATAAGAATATTTGAAAATAAAATTTAGGCATTCAATTGTAGCATCACAGACAGTATATTATAATTAAAATAAAACTGAGCCAATTAGTAACTTAATTATTTTTTTTTACTTCCTCAGCAAACAGTTTCCCATTATGCATTTTGTAATATGCTAACTACACAAGTTCATCATAATCTACATTAGGATCATATTTTAATGCAGAAGGCAAATATTCATTAGGGTTTTTGTTTTCACCTGTTTTGATTTTGATAAGGAAAGAAGATATGTTAAGACAAGCCAAGAAATGTTTGAAACCATTCATGTATTTACTATTATATAGAGAAAATTTTTACCAAAATTATTTAGTCGATTTTCACACGTTTCGTCTTTATTAATCTTCTGACTTTGCAGAACAAGAAAACAACAATAAACAAATATCCTTACAAGAATCAAAGCAATTGCTGATTCTAACATAGTTGATTTTAACAATTGTTGCATCTTATTTCAAAAGATATAGTTTATTTTCTGATAAGATACGATCAAAGCTTGTTTATAATAAAGTTTATTATAATAAATTCATGTTATATAGTGAGGTATTTTTTATTTAATTTTAGTACACATTATGATGCGTCCAAGTTGTTCAATGAAATAAAAATAATCCTTTCATAGGACCACATGAGTGTGAAATTAGATTTTCTAATGTAACATATTTTAAGACCAAGAAAATAGTTGAATATATTAATGCAGTGATGTGTACTTGAAAGATTAAAAGCACCCTTAAAATCACTTTTGAAAGGGTTGGAAACATAATTCTCTAATAAATTCATTTGGGTTGGAAGCTTCTAATCAAATTTTATATTATTAGAAGCATAAGATGTATATCACTGCATTAACGTAAGTTTTTTTAGATAGACTGATTATGTTGTTTTAGTAATTAGTAATAGACTAATAGGTTTTATATTTATTATATTACTATAAATAGGTAACTGACAAACAGTCATCATAAAATCATAATATATATGCATTTTTTTTAAAAAAAATAAAATAAAGAATCTTCTTTAACTTCATTTTTATTTTTTGAGAACAAACCATTAAAATAATTTTTTTTGAAAAACTTAACTTTGTTTTTAAAAATAAAATATTTAAAAATTTTTTTTTAAAAAAATCTTTAATACATTAGAATATAAAAAATGTAATTTTATTATTATAAAATAAATTCAACTAATAAAAACCTTTATATGTAAAAAACGTAAAAAGTATTATCAAATTTTATTTTATTCAAATATCTTTATGTTAAGCCTTATAAAGATTAAGTTTAAGAATAAACATTAACATTATTTTGCAAATTAAATTTTATATAAATATAAAATAATATATAATGATGTGATATTCCATTATTTTTTAATTCAGAAACAAAGTAACTATTTAACCATACTCATTACAGTCAACTCTTGATATAGCAAACTCTTGATATAACGAATTTTTTGAATAAATATAATAAAAATACTCTTGTTATAGTGAATTGGCTAATCAATTCTCTTAAAATCTTTATTATAGCCTTATAGTGAAGTTGAAGTCTAGGACATAGAATTCATTATAATAAGAGTTAACTGTATGTATCTATTGCTAATGAATACTCAGAAGATATTGATAATGATAAAAATGATGAATTTTTAGATCATCTTTTTAGTAAACAAAAAAGAGTATAGAAAATAAAGTAGAGTTATATCTTAAAACTCCTTAAGCAGAATGGAAGTAAGATATTCTTTTTTAGTAAAAGATATATTTTCAATAATAAGTTGTATAATTTTTAAATTATCAGCTAACAAATAGTATTCTTAGACATACAAAATGACATTTTCAAATTTAGCCAAAATGGCTAGAAATTATCTTACTATTATAAGTAAATAGGTTTATTGCATACAATTATTAATAATAATACTATTAAGTATTAACTAATAAACTGATTTTATTTAAGCTACAAGTGTTCCAATAGAATGAATATTTTTTGGTAAAGCTAATTTAGTAGCAATAAAAAGAAGCAACCTTAAAATATATACTATTTGTATATGTATATATTTGAAATCTTGGTAGGCATAAAAGTAATTTAGACTGATCAATTTTAATTGAATAAATAAAAAAACATTATTAAAGTGTAAATTGTCAATTAATTTTACTATTGTTTTGTCAAACATAATAAAATTTATATAAATTCAGTTTAACTCAGGTTATTTGAGTTAAATTATTGAGTCAAATTTGGGTTACATAGTTGATTGACCTGAAAATTTGAGTTGAATTATATGAATATTCGAGTCAAGTTCAAACATCCTCTTAAACCAGACTTAATCCGACCCGTATAAAACACTATTCTCTGATACATTAATATACAGTTTTCTTACTTTCTTTAGGTTTCCAGATAGTAAAATTAGTATTAAATATTACTACTTTTGGACAGTTTTTTTTGCTTCAGTTTCAGTATTTACACTTGTTTGAATTTTTTTTGTGATAATCCTCAAAATAATTGCTTTCAGATATTCTCAAATATCTCTGGATTGAGTGATTATATCAGAATATTTTAGTCTTATTTGAAAGAGCAGAATATATCAAATCTATATATCAAATATGATAAGAATCTGATTGTTAGATATTAAGCTATTTATATTCAAATTCATTATGGCAAATCATTTTTTTGCTTTTTTACTAACTCTCAAAGCTATTTCATTTTTTATCATATTAGAATATAGTTTTCTCACTTCCTTTAGATTCTCAGATGATAAAATTAGTATTTGGATTTATTACTTTTTGGACAGTTCCTTTGATTCAATTCTGGTATTCACACCTATTTGAGATTCTTTTATGATGAACCTCAAAATAATTACTTTCTGATTTTCTCAAATATCTCTAGATCGTGTGATTGAATTTGAATGAAAAATCAACACAAACTCTTATCTGACTATCATGCCAAAAACTAGAGTAAAAAATTATACTTAAACTATCACTCACCTTATAATAAAAACAAATGAACACCACTTAACAACTATAACAAACAGTTTATTAATTCTTCTACAGAGTCTAGCAAATAACTTTATTAAATAATAATGAAAATAATAACAAAAAACAAAAAGTTTTTTCAGAAAATATGAAAACTCCCCTTTTAATAATGTCTCCAAAATTGTGAAAAAAGTATTCTCACTAAAAGCACTAATGAAGTACCTTCTAATACCATTAGCGAGAATACTACTAAAACTATAGAAGTGGATATTGATAATACTACTACTTTAGCTTCTAACTTAAAAACAATAACACAACAAATAATACAACAAACTTCCTTTCTTACTATAAACAACTCTATACATGCAAATCAACAAATACAAAATAATACCAATAAATCAAATAGTGTAAAAATAATAACTTCTACTACTAAAAGAA